TTACGGCAGGGCCCAGGCACTCACAGCAGCCGAAAATTTTGTGCTAAATGCTCGAAAAGCGAAAAACGAAAAACGGAAAACTTTTGCCTCTGGGCTCGTTGAGTTTTGTGCCGCTTTTCATTAATTAAAGAACTGCGACTCCACATTGGTCGGACAATTCTCGTTTTTGGGCATTTGGACAACTGAAACAGACATTTCGGCTTGCCATTTGCAGACAGTTTGTCTGCCGTCTGCTGTCCGTCGACTGCTGTCCGTCGACTGCCGACTGTCGACTGTTTTATCCGATTAGCTTGCTGTACTATTTGCACAGACAGAGATGAAAAGGCAAGTCTGGAACTGTTCAAGTGCACTTCCTGCTGCCAACTTTGGGTGCTTGTCGAATGTCAAGTGGAAAATGAATTGTTGAAAGCAGCTCACGCAATAAAGCCGAACGAGCTTCGAGCTATCGATTTGCCGCTTTGCCGTATAATGGCTGCAAATTGTCGCTGAAATGCTTTTAATGTGTTTGGCAGCTCATGTAAATTACTTCGCACCATCTACTATAAGAGTATTAAACTGTTTACACTGCAAACTTTATGCAAACAAACAAGCGACTAAAGCAACGACCAGACTGAGGAGGCTGATGGGGTGATGAGTGAGGGAGAGGGGGGAGGGGGAGAGTGGGAGAGAGAACAGGAGACTTGCAAGATACTTATATGAAATTATATATACTTATATGTGTTGCCAGATAAGCTGCTTGGCATTAACTTTGTGGACTCGCGTTTAATGGAACTTTTTTATTACCTTCCGTTGCGGTGCTGAGCCACTCGAATTGCCGTCATTCATTTGGAATGGATATTTTAAAGCTCTTTCGATTGGCAAATTAATAACGATATTTATGTGTGACCGAAAGAGGATTAAATAACTGAATACATATTGTACTGATTGGTTATGAAAACAGTATATTTATGTATATGTGTATATAAATGCATTAAGGAAACAACAATTCCCATCAGAGCTGCAAATTGATTGAAAGTGCTTTCAGTGCTGCACTTATATAACAACAATATCCGCATTTGCGAGCATGTCACTGAATATTTTAAAGCCATTTCTTTTTTGTATTCTTCCTTTCAGAAGTCAACAGCTGCTGTTGTCTCGTCGCTTGTTCTATTCATGTGATTGTTGAAGTTATGAGCCAAACACACAAAGAGATAGCCACACATGTGTCGCAGCTTAACAACCCAAGCCAATATGCGCACTGCCACCCAAGAGCCCCCCACAGGTGCTGACAAATAAGAGACACAAAAATACGACGCACACACACACTCACACACACAGCAATCAAATTAATTAATTAAATTCTGCTCTAATACGTGGTGCAAGTGTCGCAGCTGCCACATCTAAAACTCATTAATGCCACGCGTGTCTCCCAATGATATTCAATGTGAGCAGACAAAAAGTGACACAAAACCCAAAAGGAATAAAATAAAAACTATCTACAAACACGTTCATTGACAGCTGTGATTTATGTGACACGTGTGAGAAAAGTCGCCAATCAGAAGTTGAGCAAGGTATATTATATGTATATTCATAGCAATCGCCAAACAGTAGTAAAGTATATGAGACGCATTTGTATAGCATACTCTCAGTCGCTCGAGTTTCGATTGCTGCCAAAGTTGCCTTAGGCTGAACTGGAGCCAAAAGCAAGGTTTGCCAGCTATTTAGATTTCAACTGCATATATCTGTATGTATAAATTTGTATAAATATTTATTTTTTTATTTTATTTTATTTTATTTTTTTTTTATATTTTAAGTTTAGCTTGCATGCCAAAAATATTTTGCCCAGGCGGCAAAAACCTAAAGTCGAGACTTTGATCTGTTGCATATTTGTGTAAATCCCGCATTTAAGCAAAAATTTAAATGCAACAAATCCATGAAATTGAAATCAAATAATTGCAAGTGAAATGCAAAAACAAAAAAGGCAACTCAGAGCATGTATGCAAATATGTTGATTTAAGCAAATATTGTCGTTTAATATTCTGGATAAATATATGTGAAATCGTTTATTAAGTCATTGCAACAAAATGTGCATTTGTGCAACAAACATAATATTTAACAAGTATATTAAAATTGCTAAAGATTAATTAAGTCTAGTCTTATTAGAGTCGAAGAGCATAATCAGTATATATAGACAGTACATATGTTTATACATATATTCTCTGAAGAAAGGAAAACAAGTTAGAGTGAGAGATGGGAAACAGAATCTGGGATACAAATATATCCAGCTTGATATAATTTATTCCCGTTCTAGATCAGTTTGAGCTGCAATAATTTCATCAAGTTTTATTTAGCTGTGCAAATATTTATGAAACAAAAAGCATATATACATATAATATACATTTTATTTGTTACTCAAATTAAAAGCAATGTTATTTACATTCAACGTATTTGTACATTCGTATCGCACACAAAAGTCTTAAGTTGACAGAGTTATATTTGATCTCTGGCAATAAAAGCAAAGCGCAACAGCTTAGACCGCAAAATGTTGGCAACTTATTCAGGCCGAACGAATGATTGCCCCCAGGCAAAAAAAAAAAAAAAAAAAAAGACCCCCAAACAAAAACAAAACCAAAAGGCAATACGAAAGGCAAAAAACAAAAGAAAAAGCAACAAGCAAAAAAAAAAAAATAAATGCAACCAAAAATCCAACTGGGCTCGCAGTAATTTTATTAAACATTCCAACATTAATTTTCATTGAGATTAATAGCTGAGTAAATGCCAAAGATTATTATGGCAGTTAGCTGGCTAAATCGTGGTGTCGTCGCCAGCGGGACTCGTGCAAATAATCCCGGCCATGTTCAGTCGTTCATTTTATTTCTTGTTAGCAATTGGTGTCGCCCGCTGAGTTTTCAGCGCGTCAATGCAATTTGCAATACGCTTTGCCAATTCTCCTTTGGCCAGTTAATTGTGTTGGCCTATTAACGTAAATCAGTCAGGCGCAAATAACCACAATTATATCCTCATATACATGTCTACATATATATATATATATATGTATATAAATTAATATACAGTAGTTAATTGGCTGCCATGCACATAGCCAAATGCGTAATTGCATATTTGACCCATGGCCTAACGACAGTAGCAGCCAAAGCGCCTATAAACAGTGACCCAAGCGGCTGCCAGCTACGCATGTTAAACGGGTAGCCATTTGGCCAAGACCTCTCTCTCAGTACGTCAGTTGAGCGGTTCCCCATGGCACCAAGCCGAATCCCGACTACCTTCGCTCTATTTGCTAGTTTATTTGTTTGCCTGCTAGCTATTTATCATGCGACAAATGCGCGTTTATCATCGCTGCGCTGGGCGTGGCGTTGCTCCCATAGCGCATTAACTGCCAGCAACTTAATGCTCTTTGGCCGCAAAGCAGCACAGTTATTTTTACGTACATCAATTTCATTTATGAAAATCATTTGCACACACAAACACACATGCACACATGCACTGTGAAGACTGTACTGGCCTGGCAACAATATTGGGCGGCAACAGTGCGTATGAATATGAGCGCATAGTGAGCTATTTGAGCAACTATTTACGCATGCATGCAGAGAATGGGTGTGTGTATGTGTGTGCGTGTGTGTGTGTGTGTTATGTGCTGTGTGTGTGACGTACATGATTGATGTATGACAGCGCCCCACATTTGCCTTGCGACGTTTACTTTTATGCTAGCAGTTTCGGCTCTTACGACGCGTTAAACGAGGCACGACAACAGCATTGTGAAAGGAAAAACCTCAACAAGCGCTGTGGAAAATGTTGTTGATGTTTCTTTTACGATTTCAATCAAGTCAAGTGGATTTGCATCATTCAGGTTCAAATCGTTCCAATAACATTTCCATTGGCTCTATAGAGGACCCCTTGTCCACCAGCACCGATGTCCGTATCCCTATCAAAGGACACGCATCTATGTGGGTCAAAAATAAATTACACACACAAAAAAAAGAAGGAAAAAAACAAGTTGTTTGCCATCTACCTAACCCCAGAGACTTCAAAAAGGTCCCGCCCAAGCGTTGATAAGTTCCATGGCCGGCTCTTGGCCACGTTAGTTGCCAGTGGAAAACGCGCCCGTAGCGCGCCAGCTTGTTACCATTAATTAGAATTACAATAAGGCGAACGTGACAGTCGCTTAATTATAATGACATTAATTTCACCTAATTAAACTCAACGCGTACCTGCGCCAACGACACAAGGACAACTTCACTACAGCAAGAACTTGTTAGTCTGCACAGTGGTGGGCAGTGCTCGACTAGGAGATACCCTAGAAGTTGTAAACTTGATTCAGTGAGTAGTCAAACTTCATTCTGATATTTACACACTGACTGTATATAAGCATATATGATTATCTACATCATATCTAGTACGATATATGTGAAAAACGAAATTAATCGATATTACTTTTAATTAATTTAAATCTGCTTTAGCAACGAGAAACCTAGTATTCCTTATCTATGTATGCCATAGATACTGATATCTACTATGTGTGATTCATAAAGATTTATAGAAATCGATATTTATTAATATGACTTATTTAGTCTGAGTTCATACAGACAGATACATGTACTTTATATACTAGATATGATATAGATATAAGCTTTACAGGCAATATTATCCAAACAAAAATATATCCTATTTATTTAGTTAACCAACTAGAGAGCCAATAGAGGAACTGACAGAAATGTAAAACTTTTAAGCTACGTATACAATAATTGAACTTACATACATATAAGCTCTATATAAGATGTATATAGATTTATAATTTTTCAGACATACTAACTAGCTAGAGCAATTGATATCTATCGATATAATATATTTCAATCAAACAGACCGACATTCAACATATCACAGCCCTATCACAGGCAATATACCCCTTTTACAGTATACCCTACAAAAAGTTACTATCGATTATAATCGCAGTTGATGTGTTCATAGTCTTCGATTAATATAAATAAAAACATATTACGACTTACCCAATTTGAGATCATAATCTGAAAGAAAAGTAAAGAAAAAACATCGTTAATTATTATTCATTATCCACAAAACGACACGAGCTAAAGTTAGGAACTAAGTTGAGCTACAGCTGGAAAAGTTGTATGTATTTAAATACATAGAGAACACAAAGAGAGAGAGAGAGAGAGACAGAGGAAGAGAGAACGAGAGAGAGAAACACTTGAAAGCAACCACAGAGATCTGTGCATGCATAAAAATCTCTTTTGGCTTTATGGCGCACTCATTGTGTGCTGAGAAGATGGCCATAATTAAATTCACTTTTGTCCAAAAAGCCTTTGGCCGCACTCAAACGCTGGCTGGTTAACATTCGTCTGCAGTCGAGTTAATTGAGTCGCAGAAGAGTCTTGACTTAATTGCAGTCAATTAGCACATTTCTCTCTTGCTCATTTTATTCATATGCCAAACGACGAGTCATTTATTAAAGCGATGCGTCGGCAACGTTGGGGATAATGTGAATAACGTTTAATATCAACATCTGGATGACTCTGGGTATTAAATTTAAGGCCAGCCAGCTGAGCGCAACTAGAAATAGAATTTAAATTCAGTCAACGTTCAGCACAACTTTGTATTAAATTACGACTGCGTGGCAGTTGCACAGTTCAGCTGAATGTTTATGCTACAGCGCTTACATAGCGGATGATGCGCAGCTTTGTTTCTATTCTTGGCTAAAATGCTACACTGATGATATACAGTTACAGCAGGATGTTGCCATGAACTCCAATCAAAAAGGAGCTGGGTCCTGGCCCTGCAGCGCATAAATGTATATAAATATGTATATACAATGTATATGCATGATGATTGTCCGAAAGTCCCGCCCATTGTGTTTGCATTTAGCAATACAAAAATTGTTTTAAGAATGTAATAACTGTTTGCTATAAGTAAGTCTACAGTTCACCTGAGTAGCTGCATACAGCTGACTACACTTGCAGCTGCTGATGGATGCCTTGTGGCCGTCGCCTCTGGACCCAATAGCTCCGCCGGACAGCGCACAGTGCACGGGAATAGCAAACGGAGACCGCATTGTATACGGCTTCGGCTTTCATTTCTTTGAAAAGCCATTTGATATTTGCTAGTTAAGCTCAAGCTCAAGCTGTTCACCCAAGAAAATTTTCACTTTTCATTTGAAATTGTTGTTGTTGTTGTTGTTATTGTCGTTGCTTTCTGTCAGGTAAGCTGACACGCTGCCACAAAGCTTTTCATTTTCTGACAAAATGTTCAGTTTAAGGCAATACAAGTCTCCATTGATATTTAAAACCTGACACAGTCTCAATTTAGGTAGTTAAATCCTTTTCTTTTTATTTTGGGTTTGTTTTTTGTGCAATTGAAATTTGGTTTGCACCGAAATCATTTGACTATATGTCAAACGCTTCGGCATTTGAAACTTAAATGTTAGCAAAAATGTTTTCACATTCAATTAAATCCATTTCTGAATTCTGCCCAAAGCGATTGGACAGCGTTTCAGGTATTTGCAGGCAATGTCAACATCACTCGTTTATTTGTGCAACATTCCAGCTGGCAGTCAATAAAAGTCAACACTGTCCATACCCAGACACACACACACACACACACACACACGCACGCACATATATACGTGTACATACATATGTAGATGGCTTCAGATATTTGGTATGCCACTCGCTTTGAATACGACAAACACGTAACTCATGCCACAAACTGAACGATCTGAACTGAAGCTGAAGCTGAACAGTTGTAACACAGAAGCTGTTGGCAGCCCATGAGGCAACATTCGCTTCACACATTGCAGATGCTGTACGTGATGCTGCAGATGGCGTAGCACGAAGATAGCATAATACTCTTTCAGATAAACATCTTCTGTAGAAAAGCTGACCTTGTTGACTAACAGAAGTCATACAGCTAGAAGCTTAAGCTGAAGTCTTATAGAAGTTATCAGATGATGTATTATCCTGAGGTGTATTAAAAAGCTAAATTAATGATCAAGAATACCAAATTGAAAATCATATTTAAAATAAAATTTAATAAACATGAAAAGAGATCCTTATCTTTCTTGTCAAAATGAAACTCAAAATAAAACAGTAAAAACTTGTAGCAAAAAAAGTTCATGCACAACACAAGAACTAGCTGAAGCACTCAATGCCAGCTGCATGATATGATTCACATCTTCAATTTATAATCTATCCAAGTACTATCTCACGCTCTCTGCACAAAATTTTATAATCGAATCGGCTGCTGCTCAAAGACTTTATGCTCTATATACTTTATAAATTGGCTAACGTCTTCTTCACATTTCGTGACAAAATTATGATGCCCTCGACAAGGGTATTAAAAATAAATAAAGAAGGGAATGTCCATTACGATACACACACACACACACACACACACACACACACACACACACCCACATACACTCTCATATTCGTATATCCATGTAAGTAGGGATCTATAAAATGGCTGAACGAGCGCGAGCGCACAGACAGCAGCAAAATAAAATTCCAAAATGTTGCACTTAAGAGGTAAATTAAGCCGAAACGAAATGCCAAAACGGAAGCAAAGGCGACAAGGCGAGCGGCGGCAGCGCAGTCATTATATTTCTTCGATGGCAAATAAAAAGAAAAAGCTTGAAAAAAAGAAAACCGTGAATAAAGCACAGACTGAAAGCAGCCAGTGTAGCAGGAGTTGCCTGCAATCCCGTGGCAAGCGCCAGACCACAGGCTTGACTCCGTCTTTCCGTTTCGGCTGCACACACCGGATATTTTACAAGTTCCGGCCGCCTACCCTTGGCTTTTATGGCGCCGTTTGCATTCGGGCGAACTGCTCGTTAAATTTGAACACTGATGTGTTAATAGCTCCACATACACATACGTACATGTACATGTACACGTACATATTCAGACAGCACAGTGCACACACTCGTTAAGCCAAGAGCTGTGGCTGCAACAACAGCAACAACAACAACAACAATAGCAACAGCAGAGAGAGAACAACTCGCGAAAGAAAAACAGCTAGCTAGAACGAGCTGGCTGTCCAAATTTGTTTGAGCCATTGCCAAACATCAAAGCAATTTGTGCCTGGCTGACTGAACGAGCCAAACAAATTGCCAAAATGTCACAGGCATAAAACATTTCACAAAAGGAGCAAACGGATTCGTGTTCCACGTTAGCCAACCTCTGCAAAGGTTCCCCCAAACATTGTTGACGATTCGCCAACTGCAGCAAGCCATCAATTTTAGATGTATGTGCATACATATATTGCATATATTATATAGGTATATGAGCATGATAACTATATGCGATAGATGTACATCTATGTACATATAAAGCTAACGAGTTGTTGGCAAACTGAAGTTTTGCATATTTTATGCACTTGCATATGCCACTCACATGGACACTCGTTCGCTGGTGCTGAGGACCCACTCGAAATCAAACTGAGATTCTCATCGCACACTCGAACAAAGTTTTCGGGCGAGTGCTGAAAACAAAGCAAAGCAAAAATATATTTGCATTTCAATTTTGCATATTTGACAGAAATTGATGTCGTTTAGCCCAACAATTCAAATCTACAAAAAATGATACAAGAATATTTGTAAACAATCAATGGCGGCTGACAGCTGACTGCTGCTGCGTCACGCATACGACGCGTGAGCCGTCGAGCGTCTATTTGAACAATTCATATATTATATATAGCCTACTGATACAACTATTGACACATTTAGTTTTCGCTCATATGTGATGAGCAGACAGCCAGAGAGGGAGAGAGAGACAGAGAGAGAGAGAGCCAATTGAGCAGCTCGTGTTTTTAGCGCTAATGCCAGCCAAACGGTTGCCAACATATTTACAATTGGCATATAAAGCGAGTTTACCAATTAACACTTCCCGGAATCGAGAATCGCAAGCGCTTCGTGCCAATCTGTTTAAATCGAATCAAGCCAGCCCCAAGCCGAATAATGTGTCTAATTGATGCCGTTAGTAGGCAGGCACTTACATCCAGTTTGCCCACATAATTTTTGCATAAATTTAAATATCATCGTCACACTTCGCGCCCAGGCGTTACACACGCAGACAAAGCGTGAGACGGAGAGAGAGAAAGTAGGAGAGCGAGAGGCAGAGACCAAAGTAGTATGTTAAGTGTTATCAAGTAGTTAATGCCGCGTCTTTTGATGTGTGACCAAGTACTTGCTTTCATTGAGTACTGTCTTCAATGGAGCTTTAAGCACAGCTATTATGTGCGCGAGTTTAAAATTTTTAGCTTTGATCCTTAAGAGTGACGGTGCTTAGAATACCCTTCGTGAATTATGCTGCCTCTTAGCTCGGCTGTTAAATTTACATTAGTTGTCTATAACTAACGAAAGATCTTTTATGGATATTCAAAGATTTTAATTGCAAGTTTCATAGTTCTGATATGAATAAAAATTTCTAACAAAAACCTCAAATTGTAAGTTTAACAAATTAAATTCGTGTTTAATATCTTTACTCCTTTCTAATCCTAATATAGTTTGAAATCCAAGGAAATCTCTTATGATATTCAATATTCCGAAAACTCCATAAAGCTATTTAATATTAATGATAAATTTGTCATTGTTTAGTTGCCTTAGTGAAACACATTGCAATGCTGATTACAGGATATCTCTTTGTTTATTATACCATGTGCCTTTGTCACATCCTGTTGCACACACACACGCACACACACGCAAACACAGGCACACGCTCTACGCACAGAAGACAATCAGAAGCAAAGTGTCGCACTCTGCATATCAATCACATGTCAGGACGCTGTCTGTCAGCCGTCACATCATTGCGGGCGTGTGAGAATTTTGTGGCAACTCAAGCCGCGCGTCCTCTGAGAGAGAGAAGAGTAAGGGAGAAAAGTATTTCATGCATTTTGAGGACTATCTCAAACGTTCGCATTTTGCATATTTATTATACGTTCGTCACAACTGACAAAGTTTGTGCCATCATTCCTCCAACTACACTCCACATTGCTGTACGCAATGTCCGGCCGT